CAACATATTCAGAAAGGCTCACCAATCCATGTGGTCGATTCTTTCGTTGTTGATATCGTGATGCCATCTTGTTCACTCGACGAGTCTGATCCACTCAAGCTTATATCGACTGAATCGCTGCCTGATTCCCATTGTTCGAACTTATACGGCCGTATTTGGACATTTCCAAATAAGACATCAGGAAGTTGATCTATTTTATACATCGGCAAGTCAATAAACGCCAGGAAGTCCTTGAAACAAACTCAATAATTTCAAGTAAATTATTTGGTTGCCAAAATGAGCTCGCCAAATATGACGTCACAAATACCTATAATTTCGTTTCCACTCCAAGCGCGTCCATTTCTGGTTTGTTTTTGTGAAGCTCTCGGAAATCGTCGTATTTTCGTGTCTTGGGCGCCACAGTTCTCACAAAACTTATTTTTAAGAGTTGATTCTGCTTCATGTCGGTATAACTGACTTTTTTTTATAAAGGTTTTTCGACAAAAGAAAAATTGTCAAAATTTCGTTGCATTTGACCTTTAAAAGACGCGATATCTGTTGAACATGGCAGTTTGGAAATAACTGAAAAGAATCTTCGCAAGGAAAGGAAACCGAAAGTAAAGCGAGTTAAATGCAAAGTCAGACTCAATTCGTGAGAAAGTACTTCTTTACTTCTATACTGCACACATAATGTGTTCTGACACCTTGTGCAGGAGGGATATCATTATTGATTTTTAAAACTTATGCAACAAGAAAAGTTCTTAGAAAGAAACATGTTTTGCAGATTAAGAACTATTAACTGAAAAATTGCCTTCCCCTGAGAGATGAGGTAGAGTAATGGTTAGTGCGCGGTCCAGGTTCAAGCCCTGGCTGGGGTCAATGGGATCGATTCAGGCAGAAACACTGGTGCTGTTGGTAGGAAAGTACGCCTGAGAATTGCTCCTGTGAGGGTGCAAGGAAAGCAACCCGGACAAGTAGTGGAGACGTATGCACTTTTAGACAATGGTTTTGATGTGCCACTTTGTTATGAGAAGCTAATCGATGGGTTAGGCATCAGCGGAGTCCAGAGGCATTTCTCCCTAACCACCCAGGAGAAAAGGGACAGTCCAAGGTCAGGTTACGAAGTTAAGCTCATCATCAACTCGTCTGACCATGAATCAAGTCTGGAAATACCCAAAGTATGGACTGTCGAGCGTCTGAACAATCCCGAGCTAAGCATTCCAAGAGATCGGGATGTCGACAGATGGTCTCATCTGAAAGTAATTGAACTTCCAGAGATTGACAACAAGGAAGTCCGAGTACTTATGGGATGTAACGTGCCTGAAGCGTTTTGGGTCCTCAAAGAAAAACGTGGTAGCAAAGGCGAGCCAGTGGGCATTCGATCTCCACTGGGTTGGACGATAATAGGACCGACAGAGAAGATTGGTCAAGAGGACAGCTTCAATGTGAATTTCTTACGTTTGGAAACGCAAGATGATGATGAAACCCTCTCACAGCAAGTAGAGAAGTTTTGGAAAGCTGACTTCTTTGTTCATTTGATGTCAAGTTCAAAGGTGCTCATGTCTGTAGAAGATGAGCGAACCTTGAGGATAATGGAGGAATCATCCAAGGAAGTTTCTGGTCATTACCAAATAGTACTTCCCTGGAGACAGCAGCCCCCTTATCTGCCGAACAATCGAATTCTTGCAGGCCACAGACTGCAACTGTAGAAGAAGAAGTTTCTACGTGATCACAAATTGTTTGAAAGCTACAGGGCGACTATTCATGACTACATCTCAAGGGGCTACGCCCAACGAGTACCTAAAGAAGAGCTTGATGTCGATGGCAAACCTCTATGGTATCTTCCACATCATGCTGTCTTCAATCCTAACAAGCCAAGAAAATTAAGAGTGGTTTTGACTGCGCAGCTCGATATAAAGGAACATTGCTTAATGACCAACTATTAAGTGACCCAGACCTGACCAACAGCCTGTTTGGTGTCCTTGTAAGATTTCGTCAAGAACCAGTAGCTCTATCCTCAGACATCGAAGCTACAATCATGGAAAAAGTGTTGACACATTTGAGCAAAACAGATGCTTTCTATCGGCGTCCTTCCGTAGTTTCAAAAAACATCTTTTTGTCGATAGTCAAGCCCCCTTCTCTCCCTTTTCAATGTTGAAATACGCTCCGTGGACACTGTCACGTGGTTAAAGCATCGAAAAGGGGAGAGGGGGGCCGAAATGTGAAACTTGGAGATTGAAAAAACACTCTCGCGTTCAACAAAACAGGTATTTTTCGGCGAGTGTCTCAACTGCTTTTGTCCACGATTGTATGTTCCATCAAGTAATGGTTGATCCAAAGGATGTTGGTGCCCTGAGGTTCCTATGGTGGCCTGACGACGACTTATCTAATATAAACAGCCAGTAGAATACAAAATGAATGTTCATCTATTTGGTAGCACGTCCCCTCCAAGCTGTGCCAGATTCTACACGCTTGTGGCCAATCGGCTAGCAGTGATACACGATGGTTCAGAACTTTCCCAGTGGAATTACGTCCCAACTAACATCAACCCAGCGGACGATGTCAGCCGAGGTCTGACAGTGGAGGAGTTATTAAGCAATGAGAGATGGTTTAGAGGCCCTGCATTTCTGTGGGAAAATAAGCCATCATGGCTCATCAATCCAGTCTCCTTTGCCAACACTTCCGAGACCCAGAAGTCAGAGCTCGAGGTCAAACGAATCACGTTACCCAGATGGAGGAAAAACGACCACTGGACCTAATGATGCTCCAATATTCGTCATGGTACATGTTCAAGAGAGCTGTTGCTTGGCTTCTGAGACTTGGACAATTCTTAAAGGGAAGAGGTGCTTGCGAGCTTCATCATCTGTTGATGTTTCACCTTGTGGCTGTCTTGATCTTTATAGCTATCGTGTAGTTAATTTACAATGAGAAAGACTTGTTAATTTATGCACTAGACGTCGCGCTTGAACTTCACTAGTCGTTAAGTACATTTACTTAGTGAACTCAATTTAGTTCAGGGGCCGGTAATGTAGCGACTAGAACTTTCTCTGCTTTGGATGTCACGTTTCTCCGTGACCCCTGGGAATTATGCAACCCACTCTGTAGTACTTAAGCGTTCTTCATTATGTACAGTTTTGTTGTCATTTTCGCCGGTGCTTGTTAGCACTGAAAGTTCGATCTGCTGGTTTCTACCGCGTTTTCCTCAGCTGCTTCACTGTTGTGAGCACTGAAGCACTAATTCTAGAATTCGAGTCGCCATGGCCACAGTTTTGTAAGTTTATTTTCTCCGTTGTCAGTTTTTTTGTCGTTATATTTTTACTGAAATATTTTGTCCCGTTTATTTTTTCAGTTGAATCACGCACACCCACGATCACCTTTTGTTTCTCTCGTGTTTACGCCCAGCGTGATTAAACTTGTGCATTCAAACTGTGACGTCTGTAGCGCTTACTAGACCTACAAGCTAAATCACATTAGCACACACGTGAGCAGCGTACACTCATTGACAAATAATAGACGATGAATTAACTAATCAGAGCGCGCGCTTTGCTTTAGTTATGTTATAAATCAATATTCTAACATGGCTCCGAGGCTTTCAGGACAAACATCTATATTTGGTGGTGTTTTCTTTGTATCCAAGTATTCTTTTGGGAATTGGGAGAGAAATAATACTCGAAAAATGTACAATTTTGACCCGAAAGCCTCGGAGCCATGTTAGAATACTGATGTATCGAACGTCGCCTATTTATATGCTCGTTTTCTAACGTATAACTTATCAGTTTGTAAACTATTTTTCCAATTTCTTTGGTTTGTAATACGTTTTTCGTTTAATTTAGTGCAATATATACCCAATTTCTCTTGAACAAAATCGGTGTGAAAATCAAAGCCATCTTTCACAAGAAATAGGAGCGGATTCATGTGTAGGCGTGAGTGTAGATCTATGGACAACATTTTTCAACATGTTTTCATAATCTACACGCCATGGCTTTTTTAAATAATTTCTTTGTTTTGTCGATCTGTTTAGCTATCTTGGGTAGGCAAGACGTATATAACTTCTCATCAACTTTATTATCACTTCGTTTGCACCCGCTGTTTTTTGCTTACAACAAACACTGAGGGAGACATATAGTCGTACTCATAGATTATCTGTAAAGATTCATGTTTACAAGAAATTCAAATAAGTAGAGGTCTTTGTTATCTAAACGCTAAAAAAAGATCTTAACACTAGTTTCAAAAGCAAAAAATTATCGACCACATTTACACTATCGCATTTACTGTCAAGCGGGGAGGGTTGGGGCAAGGTTATAAGCCCTTAACGGATTCCAATGGCGGTCGCGTTGTAGCCATACTTGTTCCAGCGGTCACTAGAGGTGTAACAACCGCAACCTCCAAAATGGAGCTCTGTCAAGAAGAAGAACTTGCTTGGCATTATGCGACCAGGGTTTGTGATCGGAGAGGCCTGGGAACGCCAGTCCACTGCCACACCATTGGTTTCGAAGTATTGGGTCGAATTGCCGTTGCTGCTCGGGGTTTGCATATTGTGGTTTGGGAGGAACGCAAACAGGCTGTTGGGATTTGAGTCACAGTTTTCAAACCGGATGATGTGTCCGTTTGATCTGAAGCCTTGGTAATTTTGATTTCGTGCGGCTGATTCCGGAATGATCCCAAAGAAGATGTAATCTTTCATGAACTGGTTCTTTGGCTTGGTGTAACCAGTGAAGTTGTTGACCAAAACTCCGAAAGGAAAGTCTGTGTAATTGGGATGTGGCTGGATCAGAGTGTAAGACTCGCTGAGATCAACCTTTCTCTGCAACTTGAGAAGAACGTTTTTCTTGTCCTTGAAGAGGGCGTTGACAATCTGCTGGACATCCTTCCTTAAAGTGAGACTTCCAGGAAGGAAAGCGAAGCCGCCCCCTTCAATTGCCAGTTCACAGTAAACCTCAACGGGTTCCGCATTTGGCAAGGGATAGATCTTGTACATGCCACTCACTGCTTCATTGTCGTAATGTTGGATCTCTTTACAGCTCTTGTAACACTGAAATTAGAAACAAACAGCGTACCTTTTGTTTATTTAACTTTGAAGCTTTTAAGCTTTTTCGAACTACACTCTTATAGACATTGACTCCGTGAAAATGAGGAAATTAGTTTGATATTTGACCAAGGCGAATGTACTGAACTGGACTGGACTTGCACCAGACTAGTCTGGACTGCACTGGACTGGACTGGAAACCAAGAATTCATGAATGTGATCCTGGCTTAATTGTGGGGTAATGGGAGGATACCATCCAGGGAGAGAAGCAATGCTTCTGCTAGTGTCAGGTCATGTCAAGTTTATACTTTTGGATGATATTTTGAAGAGGTCTCCGTCGTTCCACCTCGTTCAATATGTATCGACGCTAACACTAAACAAACAGCAGTAGAAAGCAAAAACAAGTACTCAACTCAAAGCATCAACCTCAACTATGAACTGGGTTTTGCACCAAGAACATATGTGTTCGTAAACTATATAGTGCTTAGAAAACTAGAGAATTGTCTTTAAAAGTAGCAAGGAGAACGCGTAAACAACAAAAGGTATAGATAAGCAGATAACGCCGTTGGGTTACTGCGAAAGTGACAACACCGAGCAAGCCACACGTCCAACAGTCTGGTACACGTACGAGTTGAGCTAACAGCTCTATTACAAACTTTTGTACCACATGTCGGTAAAGCAATTACTTGTCTTCAAGATATTTAAGAGTACTGAGATCATTTAAATTTCTAAAATCTTAGTCGATAAACTAACCTTTCCTTTCCTGATCTGCTGAAACACAAAGCCTCTTGAGTAGATGAGGGACTTTTCTCTTTCGCACAATCTGTCAAGTCCACAGTCATTCAATTCACACAGACCATTGGCGCCTGCTGATCTCTCGTAGTTGTAGGAGATGCATCTTGGTTCATCATGACAGGCCTGAAGACAGCTGAACCAGTCTCTGGCGTAGAATTGCTGCAAAACATGGCCGACCAAAACATGGTTGTTTTTAGTGATTGGTTGGAACGCTTCAGTTATTCCCAGCAGAAGGGCACAAAACCACTTGAGAAAAACGAAACTATTGAACATCGCAGAAACGTAAAATAAATTAAGGAAGAAGCTCGTGCTTTTAGAAAGGTAATTTCGCACACCCAACAAGAAGCCGCAAGCCTTCAAAACGTGTATAACTACTTAGCACCTGCCTAATGACCAAATGGTGATATCCAATGCGTTATTCATTTTCTACATACAGTGCTCTGTAATTGGCTAGATTACTCTCAAGTTGAGCAACATATTTCACGTCTCTGGCTTAATTTTATAACTCATTTAGAAGAGGCACCTGAAATGTCGAGTAATGCTTATCTTCTTTGCTAAGTTACTTTATAAAGGGCGGGAGTCTTCTTATAATTGTAGTTCTCTTGAATGAAATATGTCCCTATAGAGAGGTGTTCAATATTTTCTTAGCAAGCTTAGGTTCTTCCCGTGGAAAGGTTAAAAAGGTAGACGTTACCGGGATCTGAGTAACATGTTGACAGGAGAAAATTTAGACGGAGATTAATTACTTATGCAAACGCGCAAGACGTCGCGTAAGTGTTGTTATGACCACAAACTTTCCATTTTGAAGAATTGCAACGAAAACTAGTCAAAGACTCGCATTTGACATCTAATCTGACACGAATGATACTGAACTGAACGCGATGATTTATTCGTAGATCAGCTAAAGCAATTTCAAGTCGACGGATAATTTAGAGTTCCGTTATTGTCATCCGTGGTGTGGCTTGTAATGATAATGCACAACGTATTTCTTCGCGAATTATCTTAGAAACAGAATTCAGAGGTTTATGATGTGCTTAATTTGATGAACCTATTTCAGTATAGTGTTCTTCTGCCTTGCTCTCCAGCTGAAAAAATTTCCTTTATTCAAATGAGTACAAAAAGTCTGGGGACTGACAAAGCTTTCAGAAGGCAGCTGGTTTTCAGCTACAGAAGTTAAACACACAAATGACTCTTTACGTTATTCTTGTGGTAGCGGCTTCTTCTAACATAAAATAATAAGAAATTCCCGGTCGCCGCCTGCGCTAAACATTTTTAAGTGATAATGTGGGCATACCCTGCTAGCACAATCTCTTTCGATCTTGTAGGAAGCTGTCGCGTGCATATTTTAGGCATTTTGAGATTAAACACGTTAAGAATACAAGACGTCAAAATGACGCCTCTTCTTTAACCTAATTTTGAAATAATTTGCCTCCAAAATATAATCAACTGCCAGAAACGCTGACGTATTTTTCTTTAATCCCGAGTTCTATTACAGAATTTGGTGAGCCAAGTGTAATCAACTTTTGTCTTTAAGACGCCTATTTGTCGGATCAGTTCGTTTGGGTATTAAACTGCTGCGATAAAATAAATGAACCTGGAAACAATACTGGTGTATTCACCGTTTCATTCTCGCCAAACAAAGGCTTTAAAATGTTAATAAGAGAAAGCAGGCGTGAAAAAAACTTCTTAGAATTTAAATAATGGTTCATTTTAAGTTGAAGTGTAATAGATCCACAAGGTCTACGTGTATGGTTTTAACTGGTCTGTGGAAAACGATACCGACAAAACTGTACAGTTGTCGTTTCCTTGCAATAGATGAAATGTAAATATTTCGCGTTTTAATTAACTTAAGGGTCAATTGACACCTTTTTGCGCGTGTGCAGCAATTTGATTTCTGATCCGAAGAAACAGTTTTCAAATGTTTGTGAGAAAAAACCTTCCCCATTGACCTTATATATGAGGCGTGTGAAAATAATATTGCCGATATTGAAGAACTGTTTGGTCATCTATGAAAGAGTTAAACGGCATATTTCGTGTTTTGAGTTTAATACCTTCGAGAAATACGATGTCCTCGAGAGGGGCTTTTCGAAACGGCTAGAGACGAAAGCCATAATTTCGCCCCGTAGCCGTCTTGCGTCTTGTTTCGAAGCAAAAAAAAAAAAAAAAAAAGAAAAGAAAAGAAAAGAAAAAAAACGAATAAAAGATGGGAGGACGAACATCGGAAACATTATATAGCCGCCGATGTACATGCAAGTTGGAAGAAAGTTAACTATACGTGCTTGTATTCTGCGGACACGGCCTTCACAAAACATAAACATGATTATTATTCTTTACAAAGAAAAAGATCAAAGGCCGGTGGATAAACAGTGTTCGAAAGACACGTGAAACTCCAAGGTGACTCGTGAGACGGTGTGCGTGATAGTATTACGATTTCTATTGCTTAAAAAAAACTAGTGTCAATCAAGACCGCACATGCCTCGCTGTTAGGTCGAGTAGATTATTCATGTGCATTAGGCAACGTTCGATATTTAACAAATGGTAAACACCATAGCGTACACTTTGATTCATGGATGCACGCTAGAGGTTGCTAAGCACGAAAGAAGCGTAAGAGTCGCACGAGGTGATAGCCGAGTACGACTCTAGCTTCTTGAGTTCTTAGCAAATCTCTCAAGTGCATCCATAACTCAATAGCGTACAGCTGTGGCGTTTACCATTTGTTTTATAACGTAACATTGACACATTCAGTTGGAATAAAAGAAGTCCTTTCATTTTTCTCCCAAGCATCTGAGCAGGCCGGAATCCTAAATACTCGAATTTGATTGGCTAATCACGCGCTCCTGACTAGTCCACGGCTTTTTACGATACGGCCGACGGGCCGGATTTTTTCCCCGCTGATCCTAAATTTCGCTCCTAAAAGTTAGCGGTAATCGTCAATCTTTTGCCTTTTTACACTTCCATCGACGATAAGTCAACGCAAAATTATCTCTGTTCACTTTAAAATGGCAAGGAAAGTCACTGTAAGTAAATTCAATTGAGTGTTTTGAAGTTGCGAGAGTTTGCTTGGTTGTTTGTAGCTTAGCGCTGTAATGGCGCGTAATCCTGTGTTTCTCTCGCCGTAAAATTTGAGTCAATTTCAGTCGAGTTTATCTGTCTGATCGTTGCTGTATTTAGGACAATTTCTGTGGAATACACTTAACGACTTTCCTCGCTTTCTCAATTTACGGTAGAAAAGTCTGATTTCAAGTGATTTTAATAGCAACGACTGACTGAAATTGTTTTTGTAGTAAAACTCTGAACTTCGCACGAAATTTCACACCGCAAAAACAATTTTGGAGAACTTAACTGATAAATTCAACTAAAATAAAGTAGTTCGAAAAATATGTTCTTTAATACATCTTTCTTTGTCTACTTTCTGAGTTACTCGCTCGATTCAAAGATATTTTACAAATCGTTAGTAGACGGCGCGCAAGCCGATTCAATGACAAAGTTGCGTAAGCAAATCTATTTGTAATCTGTAAAACCAAGTTACAGCGGGAAAAAAATAAACATGTTATTTGCCGATTTAGGGTCAGTTCGTATAGTGAAAAACTGTGAACTCGGGGTTGAAACTTTTCAAGACCTTGGTCACAGTTTTTCACTATACAGACCTCCCAGCCGGCATATAACGTATATTATTATATAAACACCAGTGAAATACCAGGATTTTTTCTTTTACTAAAAAATCATGTCTTCATCGCGCGCAGTGAAGATACTATTTCTATCTTTCACACAGTAAAGATATTATTCCTTTTTGATAACATTTTTCTTTTGTTCCTTTAACTGCAGTTAAATTTGTCGATGTATGATCGAAACATCCTCGTATCTTCTTCGGTCATCTTCGGAAAGTGTTCGGAAATGTTCGGAAAATAGTCGGAAGCGTTCGTCTGCCCTTCGGAACAACTTTGGAAAATCTTCGGAAATCTTCGGAAAGTGGTCGGAAATCTTCGGAAAATCGTCAAAAACGTCGTCATTAGTATGTTTATGTGATAAACAGAATATTACATGCCCGCTTGTGGATACGAATTTTATCTTCTCGTGTTCAACTCGATATCTCACGAGTGAGCGCAGCTCACTCGTGAGATATCGAGTTGAACACTCGAAGATAAAATTCGTATCCACGCGCAGGCATGTAATATCCTCTATTTTATTGAGCTACATCACATTAGCACACACGTCAGCAGTGTACACCCATTTGCAAATAATAGACGACGAATTAACCAATCAGAGCGCGCGCTTTGCTTTAGTTATGTTATAAATCAATATTCTAACATGGCTTCGAGGCTTTCAGGACAAGCTTCTATATTTGGTGGTGTTTTATTTGTATCCAAGTCTCTTTCGGGAATTGGGAGAGAAAAGATACTTAAAAAAATTACAATTTTGACCCGAAAGCCTTGGAGCCATGTTACAATATTGTTATATCGAACGTCGCCTATCTATATGCCCGTTTTCCAACGTATCACTTATCCATTCAGTTTGTAAGCTATTCCAATTTCTTTGGTTTGTAATACGTTTTCCGTTTAATTTAGTGCAATACATACCCAATTTCTCTTTAAAAAATTGGAGTCAAAATCAAGGCCATCTTTCACAAGAAATAGGAGTGGATTCATGTCTAGGCGTGAGTGTAGATCTATGGATAACATTTTTCATAATCTGCCAGCAATAGCTTTTTAATAATTTCTTTGTTTTGTCGTTTATATTCCATCTGTTAAACTATCTTAGGTAGGCAAGACGTATATAACTTTTCATCAACTTTATTATCACTTCGTTTGCACCCGCTTTTTTTGGCTTACAACAAACACTAATGGAAACATATAGTCATGCTCATAGATCATCTGTAAAGATTCATGTTTACAAGAAATTCAAATAAGCAGAGGTCTTTGTTATCTAAACGCTAAAAAAATCTTAACACTAGTTTCAAAAGCAAAAAATTATCGACCACATTTACACTATCGCATTTACTGTCGAGCGGGGAGAGTTGGGGCAAGGTTATAAGCCCCTAACGGATTCCAATGGCAGTCGCGTGGTAGCCGTACTTGTTCCAGCGGTCACTAGAGGTGTAACAACCGCAACCTCCAAAATGGAGCTCTGTCAAGAAGAAGAACTTGTTTGGCATCATGCGATCAGGGTTTGTGATCGGAATGGCCTTAGAACGCCAGTCCACTGCGACACCATCTTTTTCATAACGCAGGTTTGAGCCACTGTAATCGCTTGGAGTTTGAAGATCATGGTTCGGCAGGAACGTAAACAGGCTGTTGGGATTCGAGTCACAGTTTTTAAACTTGATAGGGTGACCGTTGGATTTGAAGCCTTGGGAGTTTTTATTTCGTGCGGCTGATGCCGGAATGATCCCAAAGAAGATGTACTCTTTCATGAAGTTGTTCTGTGGTTGGGTGTAACTTGTGAATCTGTTGATCAAAATTCCAAAATCAGTGTTGGCGAAAGACGAAAGGGGCTGGATCAGAGTATAATACTCGCTGCGATCGACTTTTTTCTGCAACTTGAGCAAGACGTTTTTCTTGTCTTTGAAGAGCACGTTGACAATCTGCTGAGCATCTGGTCTTCTTGTGAGACTGCGAGGAAGAAAGGTAAAGCTGCCACCTTTTATTGCTATTTCACAGTACACCTCAATGGGTTCGGCGTTTGGCAACGGATGGATTTCATACACGTCACTCACTGCTCCAGGTGCGTAATCTTGAATTTCTTGACAGCTCCTGTAAATCTGAAAATAATGTTCACTCAGTGGCTTAAGTAATTTCCATCGAATATAGTACATACTCGTTCTTTTTACAAAGGAAATTGTACGTCTCGAAAGTCGTGTCACCTACGCGTGGATTTTCGAGGGAGTTTTTGTGATGCACTCTGACGTTTGCGATTGAAGTAGATTCGTTTTAGTCGAGGTCTTTCTCATTCGCGCATAAAACAAATGATCAGATGTAGTATTCCCTTCATGTGGACTTCGAATTATTGCTGAGTTATAGAAAATGTTTTGAAAGAAAAATTTGTCCTCAGTCGTCTTCATACACCGAGCAGCACGGCGCGAAGAGAGAAGCGCGAGGTTGGGGAGTAAGGGAAGATGGTAAGGGGTGAGAGGAGAAGACGACTGGGAAAAACCCTCTTCCTTCCTCGCTTTCTCCTTACCCATGGTAACTTGCGCTCTCACCTAGCGCCGTGCCGCGCGCTGTATGAAGGGGGCTGGAAACGAGGCAGGTTTTGTGGTTTTAAGGGAAAAGGGAGTGCTAGCAAGTCCTAAAACTATTTGCACTTGAATATTAGTGACGATGGTGCTGTGAGATCTGGCTGTTTAATGGTTTCGAGACCTTAATAGAGTTGCTTACAGTTTCAGGGTCATGGCTGCAGCGTGCATAAGTAGTAGTCCACTGCACAACAGTCGAGAAAACGAGGAGGAAAAACGTGGGATTCATCTGCAAGAGGAAAACAATTATGAGTACGCGTTAACTAAGGATATAATTATTTTATTCCATATGAAGCGTAGATGTCATTGTGATAAAGCCATGGATAAAATCCAGAACAATAGGTAATCAATCAATCAATCAATCAATCAATCAATCAATCAATCAATCAATCAATCAATCTTTATTTGTACTCACTCTTGCGAGAGAAAAAATTACAATTTCAATAAAATTATTAAAAGTAAAAATTAGAGTACTAGCTGCCTGGAATAACCATAGGGGCTAGCGGAGCCAAGGAGCCAGTTAGCATCAGCATTAAATAGAAATAAAATACAGGTCAGCAAGAAAACTTGAGCACAAGTGCACACACAAGAAGAAAAAAAAAGAAGAAAAACGCTATTTCTATGCTTCTATAGGGAGGTGATATTGCTTCCCGGATTGCATTGTCAAATCGCATATCCTTTATAACGTGCGTGGACCAATCATGTTGCCTGACTGCTTTGTATTAAAGCCACTGCCGACTTTGACGCGAGCTTTCCTTCTCCAGTTTTCTGAATGAAATTGCGACATAACGGCTTCGCAGAGATTTGTTCCAGTTTTGACGTCTTATTAAACAATCAAAAAACAACTACAACAAAAAAACATTGTGTAAAAAGTAGATAGAGCTTGTTATCTTTGTATTCACTAATTTTTAATGATATCAAGACTCGCTGGTTTATACTCAGTATTTTTCTGGCCGTTTCTCTTATTGCCAAGGTATATTGTGATTTGTGATATTCGTGGTGATGCCTTCTCAATTTTATTGATTTGATTTTACTGACAAGCATAAGCTGCGCTTACTGAGCCAATCAGAGTGTTTGACCTTAAACGCCTTTTGTGGTGGGCAGTTGAAAACCGGCCCATCCTCCAGACTGCCTGGTTTATCATAGTTTCCTTCGCAGCCGTTATTAGGGTCGTCACGCAACGCTTCTCTCCCACTAACGGCCCACAACTGCAACGTTTACAAAATCTTATCTTCAACTATTCTGAGGGTATGTCTTGGTCTTCTTGTCACTATTGCTTTCTATCTCCACTCCAGGCAGCAATTCTTTCGTACATTCCTCAAACTGTCCTGTAATGCTGTTCCACTACTACCCTGGTCCCACAGGTTTTTCTTGATTTTTCTTCTTTTCGCGAAGCGGAGAACACGAGTAGCGAAGCGGAGAACACGAGTAGCGAAGCGGCGAGAAAGAAAAACCTTTGGTTACCTTGAACTTGAACCTCACTTACATGCAGACGCCAGCTGTCAAACGCGTCAAATTGATAATTACAAAAGGGACCAATGGCAACTTAGCAATCACGTGCTTATCAGCCGCTGATGGTTTCCACTCGGGTGGTGGAGAGTGGTATCACTTGACCTACTTGGCCGGGTCAACGCGCGTGTTTGCAAGAATTAACCTTTTGAATACCAAACTTTCGCCAAAAAATACCGTTTTTAACCGTTTAGCCAGGTTTTTAAGCTGCCATGACGCTAAATAAGCCTAAGTTTTGCTAAAAAAGCTTTTTTTTTTNCCGTAGGTGGCCATCCATCACTTACACCTCTAGTGTCCACTAACGAGAACCATTCGTTGCGATCGTATGGATATGGAAGCGATTGAACGGAAACCGGTAGTAGTAGTAAGAATAGCTCAACTGTTCCTGTAATGATCGCAGTGATCACACGGAAATAAGCCTTTGGACGAGAACAGCATCCAAAAGAAAAGCTAACATGGAAACAAACGTCTATGGTCACCGACAATTTTAAACTTACTTTTCATATAGTAGCTTTGCGGAGTCAAAAGTCTTCTTGTCTGGCAATGCTTCGTCCAATCTCTTCTACGACCTAGATGAATGGTCCTTGAAGGCGGTGTGATCAGCTTAAAAATGATCACGAGTTACTTAAAAGATGACGTAACAAAAGATCAGGAAGATGATTGACCTCTTGAAGTGGCACGTACCGTGGCGCTAAGACGCATCTTTTAGATCAATTAGCCAGAGGGGCCCATACAAGTAGGCTGTCTGTTTGTATGTTCAAAATTAGCCTCTTCCAGGCGTTCAGTTAGTTGGGGCGCAGCGCGAAAAACAGCGCGCAAAAAAAAAAAAAAGCGTGGCGAGAGGAAGCGAAAGAACGCCTGTGGGCAAACTTAACAAAAGGTCGTTCCGGTATACCCGCTGATTGGTCAATTTTGACAGATTTTGTCAGCACCTGAGCATTACTTACGCAGATGAGATATGCGATATGGCGGCGGTCAGAGGCCTTTGAAGTTACAAATCTGTGATAAACAACACGCTACAAAAATTAAGATTCTCCCCAAGTGGAGTACCTTCGCGAAGAACAGAAGGGTTGTATGAAAAATATGGTCAATGGGAGATGTCTTTGCAATTTTTTCCACCGGTTTTGGAAAGAGTTTAATCTTTTAACTCTGTACACGAGGAATGTCTTCGATGAATTGAAAAGACGGCGCCGCCTCCACGATCATGATGGTTTGTCTAGCTCTCGTGGCCATAATGAAAGACCAAGTTGAACAGTTGAACAAAATCTGAGTTGAGCAACGGCAATAGATATTGACGAAGAAACCGTTAAGAACCTGAAAGTGCGAGAGTGTAAATACGGTTCGTGACAGCTGTAGATCTCTGTACATTTGCCGTTCTGTTATTATCTTGACCTTTCGCTTCGTAGAGTTTGACACCTCTCTGATTTGCCATGCGGTGTTTACACTTTGTTAAAGCTCATTTCTATTGCAATATACGTTTTTAAGTCTCTAAGCATTGGCTTTTGAGGGGCAAAGTTTGAAATATTCCGTGAACATGTTTCAAATTAAGGTTGACGACTGAAAACCACAAGCCGGCGGTCATGTTACGGGTCCCTGTAGGCGGTCT